CCAAGCTGTGAGCAGTGAAGGAATGAAGCTTCTTCAGAGGCAAGACAGAAGTGAAGCTATCTTACACCAATGCATTTGAGATATTAGTCTCAAGAATGAACACCTATCAGTGAAGGACAAAAAAAAAGTCCGCAGAAGAAAAAAACATAATGATATGCAAAACTATTAAGGTTATCTGGCAATTAGCACCTACCAGCCCTTATCCAGGGCATAAGGAAGTTACCAAAGCACTAATTTGCAACTATGCATCTGTTCCTACTTAAACCCTCTAAGCAGCTTACTGTTTATCAGGTTAAAAAAGAAAATGTGTATTCCTGCCACATTTCTTAGAATATGCTTTGTTTTATAGATCTGACTATGGGACTACATTTTAAAAGAACAAAGAAAATCTATTAAAAATACATATATATCAATCACAGACAACAACAAATAATACCATTTCCAGCAATGATGTTGTTGATGGCAGTGCTGTTATTCCATGACAAATGCATTTATATTATGGGATTAATGCAAATAAAATATGCTGAGAACCTGTAGTTTTAGCACGGGAGAAAGAAGATACACACAGGCCTAAGAATGATGATACTAAGTTAAAAAACCTATAGTTCTGCACTTGAACTGCCAATGAATGAATTACTATGCACTTTTGCTTTAAAAAGAAAAAAAGAAACACATACACACACACACACACACACACACACACACACACCCCTCTAGGTGTCTTTTCTGAAAAGGCCTAGAAACAATGACTAAGTACCAACAACAATCTAGAATTCCTTGGCAAAGAGACTGATTCCAGATCTGGAGCATATTTTATTCAAGAGCCCTTGTCATACCAAAAAGCAAGATGGTATCGATGACTACTATCATCATATCAATAGGACTCAGAAGCCACCTGAACAGGCTTCTGTAGCCAAAGATGGGACAATTGAAACACTGAGAATATTAACTGTAGTGGACCAAAACATACTATGTTAGAATACATGAATTCATCACAGTATTCAAAACATAAAGCACACAAATCATCTTTAAAGCACAGGTGGTTATCATTCTACAAGGTAAGGTTAACGTAGATATATTTCCTTGGAAATCTTTCTTTATATAACACCTGTCTTTTAAAAAATACAAATATAGCATCTGTAATAATAAGGAAAAAGGGGCTAAAACTAACTCGAATATTATGTGTAAAAAACAAAGCATCAGGAAAAAAAATAAAGTGTTACCTAGTCAAAAATATAATATGGCCAGGCATGGTGGCACACACCTGTAATCCTAGCAGCTTCAGGTTCAAAGCCAGCCTCAGCAAAAGTAAGGCACTAAGCAACTCAGTGAGACCCCGTCTCTAAACAAGATACAACACAGGGCTGGGGATATGGCTCAGGGATTGAGTGCCCATGAGTTCAATGCCCAGTACCCCCCCCCCAAAAAAAAAACAATATGAACAAAGGAAACATTAAAGCCCCCTCCAAGACTCATCATATGTAATGCACTTTATGCATTCCAATTATTACATGTCTTGGCAAAATGAAACATACCTACAAATAATTATTAATAATTTTAAGAAGTGCTCAGGCCTAATGGTTTTTAAATTGTCAACATTTTAGGTACCCATTATCAGTGACATACCGTAAGAATGTTACAGAATTTGATTCTTGGGAAAAACTACAAACCAAAGAGATATACTTCAGTGTAAAACATCCTTTAAGAATTTCTACTTTCTATTGGGGAAAAAAATAATTTCTATTTTGGATTAAATGAGAACCCTAACGCCACACTGAGGAAATACTTTTAAATTGTCCTCACTAAAACCACATGTGCTAAAGGTTATCCTTCATGGCTTTATTTAAAAAAAAAAATTATAAAGATACCAATTACAATTGTGCCACTTGATCAGTTTCTGTCCCTTTCTGATTACCGTCCCACACCTTTTCAGAAGCAACATCTCAAAAGTCACAGCTCTGAACCCAGTTTACCTCCTCTACCCAATCTGTTCTACTGTGCTTTCCTCTCTAGGTAGGTATCATCCTTGTTATTGCTCATGGCTTCCTCTCCACTGCTAAGGGAGTGGTCAGATTAGAGCCCAACCTCCTACCAGTGAGATTTGTTCCAGAACTGCATAAAATGTCCCAAGGCCAAAAGAAAACCAAGATAGTATTTCCTGGAATGATATACTGTGGTAAATCCAGGTTCTTCTTTCTAATAAGATTTAACCATGGCTTAACCAAAATCAGATTTCTTCCTGAAATACTCTTCTAAGGATTCTGAAAAAGTTAACCATTTCCCTCCCTAAATTTTTCTAATGTTTTTAAGCAGTCAATTGCCACAAGCTAGACTAAGCCAACTTAAGTGAAAACAATTCAAGACAAATTCAGCTGGCATCTCTTCCCCTTGCAACTCACACATTACATGGAATATGGCCCTATGGGCAGGAGGGCAGGGAGGATTACTCTTCATAAGCGAGTCTCAAACGTACAGTTAGTTGGCAGGAGTACCTCAAAATAATTTTCAGTCACCACAACAGCATACATTCTCTAGACTAAGTTCAAAGGATTAGAATCTTCAGTGAAATAATTCCAAGATAGTGTGTCAACTGGATTGCACATCTGGATCTCCAGCCACATTCAAGAAACATCCCCTGCTTTGAAATGCTGCCCCATTTGCAATCCTAAAGAAAATCAGAAAACCCACTAAGGAAATGGCATTAATGAAACTCTTCTCCCAAAGCTCTGAGAGCATTTAATAAATGTTTGTTGAACAAATTGCCTTATTTCATGGAATACATACAATATTTCCTAAAATTTCCTTTTTCTCTTTCCCAAAATAAAAACAGACCAAAACAACCTCAAAAGGCAACCAATAGGGGCGGGGTTGTGGCTCAGCCCTAGAGCACTCGCCTAGCTTGTGCAAGGCACTGGGTTCGATCCTCAGCACCATATAAAAATAACTAAATAAAATAAAGGTATTGTGTCCAACCAAAACAAAAAAAATAAATTGAAAAAGGTAACCAACATCTATTTCTACAGTGGTATCAAAGAGCCATAAAATCTAACCATATGTCCTGCAGGAAAAATCCATGTTCTATATAGCACCAAACATTAATTGTATAAACATACTACACAAAAGCAACTAAGGATTATAAAGTCCAAAACTGGCACAATTCATCTATCACACTTATGCAGAACCATACCAAAATAAGTATTCCAAAAATCTTGCCCAGGGTTTACAAAAAATTTTAGTAGTAAGCTAGCATGATAGTGAAGAAACAAACCTCTCTCAATAAAGTTAATGGAAGTGGAAAGACATTTATAAATTAAAGTTCATCAAAAGAGACTGAAAAGGCCAGGTGCAATGGTACACACCTATAATCCCAGCTACTTGGGAAGTTATGGCAGGAGGATGGCAAGGTCAAGGCCAGCCTGGGCAATGTAGTAAGACGCTGTCTCAAAATAAAAAATTAAAAAAGTGGGCTGGGGATGTGGCTCAAGCGGTAGCGCGCTCGCCTGGCATGCGTGCGGCCCGGGTTTGATCCTCAGCACCACATACAAACAAAGATGTTGTGTCCGCCGATAAAATTAAAAAATATATATATTTTTTTTAATTTTCTCTCTCTCTCTCTCTTTAAAAAAATGAAAAAAGTTGAGCATGTGGCTCAGTGGTAGAGCATCCCTCAGTTCAATTCCCAAAAACAAGGAAGAAAAAAAAAAGACATGTTGCAAAGTTCTCATGGCACCTGAAGCTGTCAACCATAAAAGCTTAGGAAAATCACTAAGAAAACTAATTCTACATTATAATAAAAATTCACCACCATTTCAAAAAGGAAGAAAGGAAGGAGGAGAAAACAAGAAAGGATATATATTAGAACACCTTTAATGCCTCTTCCTTAAAATGAAGCCCAAAGCCATTTCTAACCATTGTTAGAAATTAGACCAGTACTGTCCAATAGAATTTCTGTGATGAAAATGTTTTGTATCTGCACTGTCCAACAAGGTGGTCAGTAAACACCTGAAATGTGCCATGGGACAGAGAGCTAAATTTTTAAATTTTAATTAACTTAAATTTAAATAGTCACATTTGACTATTTGGCTACCATACTGAATTAATCGAGAGTCTAAGTGTTCCTATTCTATTGTTAAGGACAATTTTATTGGGAAATTGTACCTTTTAGATAGAAGGGTAGCTAATTCTGCCTGAAAGAGGGAGACCAAAAACAAAAACAAAACAGAGATCTTATAGTATCTCTCTCAGCCTACAAAGTGCCTAAATAATAAAAGACTATCCTGAAACTGCCTTATACTTTTAGGACAGCTGGGTTTAGGAATCAGAAGTAATTTTTATGATATATAAGGTAAAACTAAGCAACAAAAGCATAGAACAGAAAATAAATCTAGAAAGTTGTATGATTCTACTTAAAGTTTTCTAAAACTAAAAGCAATTATTTATCACTAGTCCCAAACTGCTTCTGTCTACATACCTATTTTAAAAACATTCCCTTCTCAATTATAATATTGCCTATTTTACATTTTAATCTTTGATTATATTCAATTTAAAAATGTATTATATATAGCTCTGCTAAGCAGTATTTTCCAACAGTAAAGTGACATACTCCCAAAAAGATTGCAAAGCAACTTGAAAATAGAAAATATTGTACTGAAGCAAGTTGAAATTATGCAAAAATATTCTGAAATATTTATTAAATTATTTGTGTATAAACGTATACATATGTGTATATAAAAATAATTTTTTAAGAAGTCAAACCTACCAGAAAACACTATTATCTCCATAATTAGGATTTAAAGTTAGTTTAGCTAGAGCGGTCCGGGAAAGGCTGGCGTGGCCACGCCACTGAAGGTGTTCGTGACGGGACTGTCGTTAGGCCCGCCTCTCTGCTCGGTGATGGTCATTGTCCTCCAAAACAGGGATGGAGTAAATATCGGCCCAAGAAGCAGCAGGATCACCAAGGGTCCAGTTTCAGTCTTTGGAGACTCAGCCTGAGAGTTTTTCCCCAGAACCTCAGTTCATGCAGGACACTGACATGGAACAGGGACTCACTGAGGCTCCACCTGCTCCCCAGGTGCCTGCTCTTCCCCACGAGGGAAGCCCAGGAGACCAGGCAGCTGCGCTGCGGACAGCCAGGTACCAGGAGTTTGAGACATTCGAGGACGTGTCTGTGCACCTTACTCGAGAGGAATGGGGATGCCTGGACCTTGTTCAGAGGGACCTCTACAGAGAAGCGATGTTATTGAACAATGTGGTCTCACTGGGCATACTTCTTCGCCTTCCCACCACTGGGATTCATTGTGTGAATTCCTGCCCGGCCCTGAGTCACACCCAGGCAAGTGCTTTCTCTGGAGAAACTTGCAATTCTTACAGCAGGAATCTCCAAGAGACAGTGGCCCAAGTATCGTATTTCCATCGGTAGTGCTCAAACTGCTCAGAAACGCCTTTTACATGACTATAAGATAATAAACTTGATTAACTGGATTAGATGCTTCCCGGAATGCCACCACTATGTAAAATTGCAGTTCTTCAAATGAGCTTTCATAAGGGGCAAAAGAAGCCCTTTCTTTGCAAACAGATGGATTTTTGAACCAAGTTCATTTAGAAACCATGCTTGGTGATCAGCTGCTTGTGCTCTGAGAACTAAAAAGTCCAACCCATCTCTTCAGTTAGGGTCTTTTCCTGTGGCTTTAGAGTGTGGAATATGTGCTCTGTGTCCCCCTTTGCTGTAGTAAACATGACCTGCCCCTCCTGTTGCCTCATTCTTTGTGAACCTTTGTCTTTCTTCATATTTAACATAATTTTTCTCCTTCAAGGGCCTGCCTTCCTCCCCTTGATTCTTCGTGGCACTATACAGATTGATGTATTAATATTACCTTTGCTGATTAAGTATTCCTTTGTTCCTTAGAACTATCCCCTTTTTTTGTAAAGGGGGGGGGGGGTAAACCTGGGGACACTTTACCTCTGGGCTACATTTCCTGTCTTTTTTAGTTTTTATTTTGAGACAAGGTTTTGCTAAGTTGCTGAGGCTGGCCTTGAATTTGCAATCCTGCCTCAGCTTCCCAGGGTGCTGGGATTACAGGTGTGCACCACAGTGCCCAACTCCTTAGAACTACTATTAATGGAAGGGAATGGGAAGGCCAAAAAGTTAAATCTCTATTTCAGGGCATCAAAAAGAATGTATATTTAATAAGTTTGTAAGTTGTAAACTGATGGATGGATGGAAGGAAGGAAGGAAGGAAGGAAGGAAGGAAGGAAGGAAGGATTTAAAGTTAGTTTACAAATAATATCCTTCTGGGCCAGGTGTGGTAGCACACCCCTGTAATCCCAGAGGCTCAGGAGACTGCGACAGGAGGATCAAGGGTTCAAAGCCAGTCTCAGCAACATCGAGGCACTAAGCAACTCAGTGAGATCCTGTCTCTAAATAAAGTACAAAATAGTACTAGGTATGTGTCTCAGTGGTCAAGTCCCCCTGAATTCAATGCCTGGTACCACCCCAAAAAAATAATAACATTCTTTTAGAACCCTATGATAGATCAAGTTTCTAACCGTTTAATGAAACTATGTTTTATAAATCATTAAGACTTGATGCTATTATTTTCCTTCTAGAATAAAAATAAATCAAGACTGAATTTTCTCATACAAAATCACAAAATTTTTGAGAATTCAATCCTACAATTTTCTTTTCATCTGAGTATATACTATGACAGTATGTCTTATAAGTTGGCCCTTTCTTCTAGAAAGACATTTTTTACAGTTCAATTACACATAGCTAAAAAGTACAGCACATATGGAACAAGTTAAAGAAAATGTGTTTCTTCTAACCTAATATGGTATTCAAAGTTAATCTTCTTAATTCACATAACCAAAATTTTTAAAAAACAAAACAACTTTAACCCTGTAGTCTCAGCAAAACACTTGGATAAAAAGCAAAATCAAGTATGTTCAGCCCTAATAAAGCACACAACCAGTTTAAAATACCATCAGGAATCACAAGTGATTCCTAAACTCACAGTCTCTTTACAGACAACAAAACTACAGCAGAAAGAACACAGAGTACTGTAAAATACATTATCACTTTCCTCTGAAACAGATAATCCCAACACAATCTCAGAAACTTCTATGCTCAAGACAACTCCTTGACATGCTTCCTGTCATTAGATCAAGCAGACTATCTTCTGGGATGTTGCCATGGTGAACAGAGATGGCTATTCTAAAAGAGGGGGAAAAAAACTACTATTGTCAATTATAGTCTCAATACTAGCATCTAAAAATCTGGTGCTGGAAGAAAAGCCACTTACAAATGAAGGAAAAGCCTCCTCTTTTACAATTCACATGATCTGATTAACTTAATGGTTTAGAATTTAGTTCTTACTTCTCTCCAATAAAACAAGCAGGATTTCTTACCTTTTTATAGGATGCATGGAGAGATGCACAGATGGATGGTGGACAGAGGGATGGAAGAAAGGGTACATGAATGTGAAGGAGGTGTGAAGGGAGGAAAGGTGGCGGGGTGTTGTGTTTCTTTTCTTTGTTTTCCAATACTGGGGACTAAACCAGGGGCACTCTACCACACTGAGCTACACCCACAGCCCTTCTTATTTTGAGACAGGGTCTCACTAAGTTGCCCAGTCAGCCTCCCAAGTCACTGGAATTACAGGAATATGCCACCACACCAGACAAGGAGGGAGAGAAGGAAGGTAAAAGGACACTAAGAAAGGACCTCCCAGCCATATAAAACCAAGCCAGGAGTTTTTAACCTCTCTGAACTGAATCAAAAACAAAGGCAAGTAAGGAGAGGCAAACAATTTTAAGTAGAAGAAAATAGTAACACTAAAATTATTTGCAATTATTCTCCAATGCAAAATTTCCTTTATTAACCATTTTGTAAACTAGTCTTCTAAATTCCTAAACCTGTGCTTCTCATTTATCTATGCATAATGGTCACTATCAAATAAGAGATTTTTTTTACTTCAAGGGGCATATTTCTGGTAGAGAACTATTTAGTTAACCAGTTTGAAAAAAAATCAAGAAATATTTTCTGAAATCTTTGTTTATCAAGCCATAATTTAAAATTCATATGTGGTAAACACAGGATTACATCCATCTTGTATAGATTCCCTTTAAAATATACCCCCACACTTTGGGGCATAGGGGTAGGAGGTCCTGAGTATTTCTAAAAGTACATTTAAGTCACAGTCAATAAGTACAGTGTTCCTCAGTGATGTAAACAACTCCACTGGATACAAAGTCCTAAAACTTCTTCTTTTTTAAAGAGGTCAGGTTAAATAAAAACTATAATACAATAATATCCTGTCCATACATTGTAGTAATGGTAACAAAAGCTTTCTTGGACCACCTGACTCATCTAATTATGCAACACTACAATTACTGAGTCAACAGTCATTTAATAAAACTGGTATCATGGAACTGTCTAGTCCCTTTAAAAAAAAAAAAAAAACAAAGGCCTGGGCTGAGGCTGTAGCTCAGCGGTAGAGCGCTTGCCTAGCATGGATGAGGCACTGGGTTGAATCCTCAGTACTACATAAAAAATAAATAAATAAAGGTATTGTGTCAACCTACAGCTAAAAAATAAATGTTTAAAAAAAAAAGCCTATAGAACACAGAACACCTATTTCAAAAGTGAGGCAAGGCCAAATATTTTCTGAACCAAAATCTAATAAGCACAAACTAAAAATTTCAATACTGTATTTTTATTCATCCCAAAGTTGATGAAATATATAAAACACCAAAATTCTTCCCAATTTGGGCAGCAGCAATGAATGTCTAAAGAAAATACAATTTATGTTTCTCTTGATTGCCTTCAAACAATTTAGATAGGAATAAGTAAAAATGATTGTGGCACCCACCTATAATTTCTTGCTACTTGAAGGTGAGGCAGGAAGATTAAATTCAAAGCCAGCCTGGGTAACTTAGCAAGCTTCTGTCTCAAAATTAAAAAATATAAAAGGGCTGGGAATGTAGTTCAGTGGTAGAATGCCCTTGGGTTAAATCCCCAGTACCAAAAGTTGGGGGGGGGGGAAGGACTGGGGAATATAGCTCAGTGATAGAGCATTTATCTAGCACTGTGGTAAAACCGGGGTTCAAACCCCAGTAACAAAATAATAATAATAATAATAATAATAATAATAATAATAATAATGGTTCAATATCACTTCATTCAATATGCTCAAAAGCAAACAGAAGTGTGGAGTCATACACCTATAATCCTAGAGACTCAGAGGGCTAAGGTAGAAGGATCACAAGTTTGAAGCAGCAGCCTGGGCAATTTAGTTAGATGCCATCAAAAAATAAAATAAAAAGGGGCTGGAGGTGTGGCTCAGTAGAATAGTGTCTCTGGGTTCAATCCCCAGTACCAGGAAAGAAGGGAAGAAAAAAAAAAGGCAAACAAAATAGCCCAGAGTATATTTTAACTAAAAGCCTTTTATCTAACTCATTGTGATTTCAAATGGCCAATAGACAGATGTGTCAATAGATGTTAGCTTGGTTAGCTCTACATTGCTTCACCAACAGAAGGAAAAAAAAACCCTCCACCACAATCATCTTTGCTCCCCCACAGGTATATGTTCTCCTTTCAGATAAATTCAGAACACCTTATTTAAAAAATTTGGCCCTATATGACCAGTATCAAATACATATCCTAATTAATATTTGCCGGGCATCTTGAATTTTTTAAATTATCAAAATCTATATTAAAATTTCCAAGGATATCACTATATATGCATAAATTGAATGAATAATAGGTTAATTCCTTTTAAATGTTCTGTTAAAGAGGTCTAGTTTTTGGAGGAGGATGGTTAAAAATATTTAACTTTTGTTTTAGGTATGCTCATTCATCTAGCATACTATAATATGATCTTGGTGCTTTTTCCTAAAAAAATGAAGTATATAAAAGATAATCAACACTTCCTTTAATTGAATATTCCCTAATAGCTTTCCTTCAGAAATGAAAAAAGAACTTGGCAAGCTACACCCTCAGCAGCCTTGGAGAAATCTGTTCATTCCATATAACTTTTGAAGGCTTTGTGCATTGTCTACGGGATAAAGCCAAGGAAGTTGTGTTCCCATCTACCCAACTTCCAGCCTCAGGCAGCAGTCCCCTATCTATCTCTTCCCTGACCACACACACCTGAAGCCCTAAATACATGGAGTTGCTCAGACTGTAATTCAATTCAATTTCCCCTATCTGGCCAAAGTACAAAAACTTAAAAGTGCAGACTCATATCTGGGCAGGTGGCGGGGTGTTGTCTATCTGTCGTTCTTTGTTTTCCAATACTGGGGACTGAATCCAGGGGCACTCTACCATACAGAGGTACACCCACAGCCCTTCTTATTTTGAGACAGGGTTTCACTAAATTGCCCAAAACTGATAATCCACCTGCCTCAGCCTCTCAAATCACT